TCTAGCCTGTCCAACTGGCTTTCCAGAATGTCCTATAAGTCAGCAAAGTAATTTCCAAATGTTAATAAGGTCACTTCACACATTCATCATAATTATTTGGGTCAGCTCAGACGGCTCAAATATTTTGTCAATGAGGTCACTTGCCACCGCCCATGGAGTATACTGATCCACATAAAATGTAACCAGAACTGCAATACAAAATAAATTGAGTGCCCTACATTGGCTGGATTCTCACATAATATTTTTGATAAGATTGCAGTTTCATGTTACTGTCTATGCTTTGTTCATATTTCCTTGGGACTGAATAATATGTGTTTATAGAGGTTTTTAATTTTGTTTATAAATAACCAGTACATTTCCAGTACTGTGACTTTAAGCTGATGAACACTAATATTTCTTGTTCATATTCCTTCATGTCCTGTGTTATTTGGGGGCAAATATGTAACATCTCCTGAGTTATTTAAATGGTGACCACTGGCATTGAAAACTTATAAACCTTACAATTTGTAATTGATTTCTACTAATGTTATAATGAGCCTCTCTCCGTGTCATCGATATTACTGAAGACTTTTTCTCAAACAAAAGGAAAAGTCACTAAATGAACACTAACAGCCAAAATTATTTTATCACTATCTGATTGACACAGTTCTGGTAACTGCATTGTGTGTTGAAATAACTGCTCGATCAGATGAGAAAGTGATCAACTTTCCTACAGTGTGAATCTTTCTTGGTTGTGTCATAAAGCAGGGTGAATTGCTACTATCTTGGTTGAATGTACTACAATTCCTTGTTAAATCCAGACAGGAGAGCTATAACGGATGATTTCCTGCAAGACTATTCAGAAGGACTGCTGCAATTGATCAACTTTGTTCTGTTTCTTATCATTTGCCTCTTCTGCTTCTATTTCACTCATATACAAGTACCAGCTACATGGTGGTGGTTGCTCTGACAGTCATGCTTGGACAAAAGAGGCTGAAGTAAGAATAATTTGAAAAAAACCCTCAGATTGATATAGCACCTTACATGTCATTGACACTTCGCAAAGTGCTTCACGGAACATATTGTAAAGTGCAGTGACTGTGTATATTATAGATGAACGCAGCAGCTAATTTGAACAACATAACAATGTCCCACAAACAGCTATGAAATTAAAGCCCAATTTTATTTTGGGGAACTGTTGGGAGAAATCCTCTTTTCTTTAGAATATTACCATGAGATCTTTAACAGGCAGGCAGGGCCTTGGTTTAATAAATAAAGACAGCTCCAACAAATGTAATGCTCCTCCAACATTGGAGAATTGGAATTTCACCTAGAGTGTCAGTTCTATTGCTGTAGATGACATCTAATATGTAGATGACTCAGAGTTGGTAGTTTGGTGCAAATGATGTTCGCAAGGAATATTCTCCTTGGAGCAGAGAAGGTTAAGAGGAGACTTAATAGAAGTTTTCAAAATCATGAGGGAATTCGATAGGGTGAACAAGGAGAAACTATTTCCACTGGCGGGTGGGTTCGGTAACCCGAGGACACCAATTTAAAATAGTTGTTAAAAGAAACAGAGGGGAGGTGAGGAGAAATTTTTCACACAGCAAGTTGTTCGGATCCGGAATGCATTGCCTGAAAGGGTGGTGGATTTGATTTGATAACAACTGTTAAGAGAGAAGTAGATAATTATTTGAGGACAAGTTTGCAAGGCTATGGGGAAATAGCGGGGGATTGAATTGGATGGCTCTTTTCAAATAGCCGACACAGATATGGTGAGCTAAATGGCCTCCTTGTGTGCTGTAACATTCTATGATTCTGTGATATGTTTGAATAACTAAGTGTTAAAATAAAGCTTGAGGAAACAATAATGCAATAGTCCTGGTATTTGACATAGTCCCTTATCATGTCTGAAGACATCTCAGAGCGCTCCACATGATATACAGCAAAGTGAAGTCACTGTATATTTGTAGGTAAACGTCACAGCCAATTTGCCCACAGCAATGTCCCACAAACACTGGTGAACTAAATTACCTTTTTTTTATCTGGGAAGTTGTTGGCCAGGATACCAAGAGAAACTGCCTTTTTTTCTAATAATGCTATGCGATCTTTATACGTACACCTGAATAGGTAGACTTTTTTTAATATCTCCTTTCAATGAGGGATCCTCCGACAACCCCGGACTTCCCCAGCATTCGCCAGTGTCAACCTAGACAAGGAGCTCAAATTCCTGACTTGGGGCTTGAACCCAAAGCATTTTACCTCAAGCGGGAAAGTGCTACCAATTGAGTCAGACTGACACATAATAATAATAATAATAATAATCCTTGCATTTGATATAGCGCTTTTCGCGTCGGGAGGATGTCCCAAAGCGCTTCACAGAACACATTGTAAAGTGAATTGACTGTATATTTGTGGGCGAACGCGGCAGCCAATTGCGCACAGCAATGTCCCACAGACAGTCGTAGATTGAAAATGACCAATTTAATTATTGTTTTTGGTTTTTGGAGGGATTATTATTAGGCTCTGTGTGGAGTAAGGAAACTTGCCCAAGGTTTCGCCCTCTGCCTGAATTGAACTCGGGTCTCTCGCTTGCAAAGCGAGTGCTCTAACCACTGAGCTACAGGACTCCATCATGTCACCTCCCTGTGAGCTGCCACAGGGAGGGTCTTCCATACACATTGAATGAATAGAGTGGCCACGGAAAGTCTGACTCCTGCATCAGCACTAAAAGGTGAGGGCAGTGAAAAACCCAAACAGTAAATAAACATGTATGGGCATAACGTTGCTAACTGTAACTATGACTACAAATTCAACAGCACCATCCCAAGCGGAAACCTCAGCACCTCTTTAATACTGTAGTCTGTGTGAATAGGAGGTAAACGTATACAGTGCAGGTCTGCCTATCAATAGAGTATTCATCTTTGTTACTTATTCATTGGAGGAACCGAGTCGATTTGCTCAGCTTCAGGGAGTGTCCACAAATCTCTCTCTCTCTCTTTCTCTCTGCCTTCCCAGGGTCACCGATTACCTGACACCCACCTCCCACCTCTGATTTGGCCCCTCTCTGGCCGCTAGAAATGGGTTGTGCTGCATTGCTCGGGCGATCCTGTCAAATTCTTGGCAGTGTATCTATTCACAGTCAATGGAAAGATCGGCCCTTTCTTTTTTGGAAATCGAGCAACTTTGTTTTGCAGTCAGTTGCGTGAAGGTCCACTGGACGAATGATTGAGTATTTCGTTTAGATGCATAGTTATTAACCAGAAAACCTGCAGAAAACTGAAAATTCCTAGAATTGCCTGTCGGCCAAAAGTTCCTGAAAATACACAAGAAACGCCTTTTGCAGCAAATGCAAGTTATTATGAGGCAATGCCACACAATTATATTTGCATAGAGACTTTCACGTCGAGAGAACATCCCAAGGCGCTAAATACAACCAAAGCAAAAGGATTTCTCTATCTTTTTCACTTAAGTTCTCGTTCCTTGTGTTAATTATTGAGCTCCACCATCGAGCGCACTTCACCATTGCTTTTATTTTTATCGTGATTTATTTTGTATTTTTATTCCCAGATCGTTTCGCTGCAGTGAAGTCCCTTATTGATATCTATATAAAGGGGGAGTCAGCTGGTGGAGGAGGGAGGTTGATCTGGAAATGATAATGTTTAGCAACAGTAGATCAACATGATGAGGATGCTATTTTTTTTTTTAAAAATACACTTTTCACAAATAACCCCTCAACTGCAATTCGTTTTGCAGTTTAATTTCTGCGATTTGTCAAATGGAAACAACATTTTTAAAACCTGGATGATCTCAAAGGGTTACAGGATGCAGAAACCTTTGGGTGAGAATTGTCTTAACAGATCCGATGTGCTGGAAAGCAACATCGCAATTTTCGGTCCTCGTTCATTTATTTTCAATTTCAGAATGGATCTCACTGACATCCACAGAGCTAATAACTAACACAAAGGAAACCTGGTGCCAGGGGGCTGATGTTTTAACCTAATGTGGAGCAGGCAATCCGTTACTTATATTTTTAATCGTATTTATTAACGAGAGACATCGAATATGGCATAAATAAAGACTATTTTGCACCTGGAGAGAAGCCAGCTTCACAGTGTCCCCCTGCATCCTCTCTCCAAAACCAAAGGCTATGAAGTTTTATGAACACTGACACTGACATTGATCGTTTTTAAGGGATGAACCTGAATCGGTTGGGCTTCCAGGACTGAAAGGGGTTAAGAAATTGTCCAAAAAGGGGAGAAAAACACACACACACACACATGGCTTTCGTGTCGATTAGAGAGGAACAGCTCGTCTGCAGATCGACTCTTCGTCGCCTTTAAACAGGAGCAAGTCGCCAGGATTGCAGTGAGCTGGACTGGACCGGACTGGGTTGGGAGAAACCGCGGAAGAAAAAATAACTGAGCGAATGGAAATAGAATGACGCTGAAAACGACTTGCAGAGAGTGAGTGAGTGAGTGAGTGAAATCCTAACATATAAGCCGCTTTCTGGGAGAGAGAAGTTGCTGGTCGGCTGAAGGGGACCACAGTGGTGTTGGTGTCCAGATCTCTTTGGTTTGATGTCCCCTGTGGGTGTGTGTGTGTGTGTGTGAGAGAGAGAGAGCATCTCTCCCTGTGAGAGGGGCTGAGCTGCATATGATCGGCTGCTTATTGACGGACACGTGTGGATTTTCGCATTGGGTCAACATCTGCACTCGCCGCAAAAATGTTGTGTGGCTAAAACCACTCCTAGATTTTTGATTCGCTCATAGACTGCAGTCCCCCCCCCCCCCCCCCCCGCCCCCCACCCCCAATCTCAGGGCGCTCTCCTTGTCCTTCTTGTTGTTGCTGTTGTTGGAGTGTCCGCGCTGGTGTGGGTGTGTGAGAGGGTGTGGATTCATCCAGTGGAGTTGTCAGCAGAGGTGGTTTGGTGGAGCGGATACGCCTGGTCCTGCCCGTCTGTCTGTCTGTCTGTCTGTCTGTCTGTCTGTCTGTCTGTCTGTCTGCTGTCTGTCTGTCTGTCTGTCTTGCCTGTCTATCTGCTGCCCTGCTTTTGGCCTGTCCAGTCTCGGTTGCCTTTGCTCCTGGTCGCCACCTGCCCAGCTCAGCGTCAGTGTTGGCTCCAGCGCGATGGCTCCACTCTCGCACTCACACTGCCTCCTGCCATGGATCGCCTTCCTGCTCGCCATCAACTGCAGCCACGTCCAGGCACACGGTCAGTCCAGAGTGGCTCGGAAAGCCCGATTACTGTCACGGGCTTTTGCTGAAAGACAAGTCCACTCGATCTCATTCATTGCAACTTGTAAACTGCGCGATTGCGCTGTTGCTTATTCTTACGATTCCAATACGTTGCACTGCTGCTCTGAGCATTGCGACGGATTGTGAGAGATGTTTTGTTTTACAAATGTATTCATCTTTAGATATTGCATACCATTTTGGGGGAAAAAAAAAACCACTTTTAATTCCACGAAGCCGATGTCGATCGCGGTGTTATTTCCCGTCTTTATCGAAGAAACTTGTGCTGTTGTCTTAAGAAGTGACTGTAACGTACTCGTACTTTAAAAACAATTTAATTTCACTCGTGACTGTTTTTGTTAGACTCGCGATCGGTGGAGGTATTAGATTAAAAAGCAATGCCTGTGGGTTGTTGCCCCAACCATTCGTTTCCCTGTAACATCACTGCTGTTACTTAATGATGTATTTGCTCGTCACCCATTGAAATGTTTTCATTTCCCCACGTTTGAGGGGTCACATTTTACACATCTGGAAAATAAAACAGTTGAATATCAAGTTAAAAGGTGTTCGAAAACAAAATCTCGAATGCACAGACCCTGTAAGCAGTTTGGATGGACGAATAAATAAATAGCTGAATAAATATAAGAGTATATTAACCCAAAACGATTTGATTCCAAAATAAGACTCCGAAAGGCAAATTCCCATTCCCCCCCCCGATATTAATCCGTTGCAAAGAAACACAACGCAGTTTTGCGCCCCCCCCCCCAAAAAAAAAGATAAAACCAAAATGCGAGAAAATAAAAGGAATTAAATGATTTGCTTCAGAGACGCGAACATGAGAGCTGAAAGGAGGGTTTTGCATTGATCTCCATTGCACCCTCGGCTTGCAAAGGTTTAGTGTTTTTGTTGTTGTTGAGATGCCATATAATTGAAGTCGATTAAGCGTGAATTTATCCACTTTATTCTTAACTCTTTTTCTCTTTGACCGAGCCTTCAGCTCCCCTCTCGACTCTCTTCCCCCTTCTCGCTCTCTCCCATCCCTCCCCTCACCCTGACCATTTCCCCCCTCCTCGCTCCCTCCCCTCCCCTCACCCTGACCATTTCCCCCCTGCTCGGGTCATGACCCAACTGTGCAGCGCCTTGGGACGTCCTCCTGACGTGAAAGGCGCTTTATAAATGGAATCTTGTTGTTGTTGTTGTTGTAAATCGAGGGAAAAAAATAAATGGGAAGTGACAATGTCAGGTGAGGAACAACGTGTCATGGTTGCCTTTTTCCTGCCAAATGTAACGGCCCCCCTTGTGTGTGGGTGTGTTTTCCCCTCTCGCCCCCTCTCTCCCGTTTGGCCACAGGGAAAGTGTTCGTCGTGGGGGCAAAGAACGGGACTCAGCAGTTGGATGTGAGCGGAGCCCCGGAGCTGTGCACCTCGCGGGGAGCGCGCCTCGCCACCCAGGAGGAGCTGATGCGGGCGGTGGAGGAATGTGCCTTCGCAGTGTGCACCACAGGCTGGCTGTCAGGCAGCCTCATTGGGTAAGGCTGCATCCCACAACCCCCCCCCCCCCCCCCCACACACACACACAAATACACTACATAGGTAGATCATAGCTCACCACACACACACACACACAACACAGGTAGATCATAGCTCACCACACACACACACACACACACAAAACACTACATAGGTAGATCATAGCTCACCACACACACACACACAACACAGGTAGATCATAGCTCACCACACACACACACACACAACACAACATAGGTAGATCATAGCTCACCACACACACACACACACACACACAACACAACATAGGTAGATCATAGCTCACCATACACACACACACACACAACACAGGTAGATCATAGCTCACCACACACACACACACACACACACACACACGAGCAACACAATACAGATAGATCACACACTCACACACAGCGTTTTGCCCAACACATTTACAGTCAGTTCATTTTACAGTGTATTCTGTGAAGCACTTTGAAACATCTCAACGATTTGATAAGGCGCTATATCAAATGCAAGGATTATTATTATTAACAGTCCGTCTCCCATTCCAAACTGCACCCCCCCCCCCCCCCATCCCCCATCCTCCCCACCCCCTCATAAAACAGGTATAGTAAACTGTTTCAATCCCAGGTCTGGATGGATCTGCTTATCCACAAACTCCCCTCAATGCCAATCTTATTACAAATAGTACACAAGCTTCATTCATTCATCCATTCATTCATTACCAACAACAAAAATTGCCTCATAGAAGCAACTCTTGCTCACTTCCTCTGTATAATACCTTTAGATTAATGGCCATACACTAATGTAGTCTGTTTCTTGGTTATCCTGGTTTATATTTTCCTCCAAATCCAAATCTGTTCCCAAATTCAAGTTAGTCAGCTGGTTGTGCATCTCACTGAAGTTTGTGGGTCTGATAGGCTACTCTCATTTTCTTTTCCAAAAACATTCGCTTTCTTTTCAAATGAATTGTATTTTGTAAAACACTTTGAGGTGTTTCCTTTCATATGAAAGGAATTATACAAATGCAAGTTGTCATTATTATTATGATTAGTAGTAATAATTAGTAATCCTTACATTTGATATAACGCTTTTCACATCTTCTAGACGTCGCAAAGTGCTTCACAGAATATACTATAAAGTGAATTGACTGTATATTTGTGAGCGAAATGTGGCAGCCAATTGCGCACAGCAGTGTCCCACAAACAGTCGTGGATTGAAGTGATCAGTTTATTGTTTTTTTTTGAGGGATTATTATCAGGCGTGTGGCGTAAGGAAACTTGCCCGAGGTTTCACCCTGCCTGGAATTGAACCCAGGTCTCTCGCTTGCGAGGCGAGTGCTCTATCCTCAGTAGTAGTGAAGTATTATGCACACTGCCTAAAGCTGTCTGCCAGATATCAGCACTGGTTTGATGCCAGGATAGAACATGAATTGCTGCACATTAAATAATAAATTTTTAATGGTTCAACTCCCAACTGGCCAATCTAATTTCAAGCATAAATGTCAAGATTTAATAAGAAAGATTTAGCTATTGCAAATCCTGCCTCAGCACAGTTCCAGATACTAATCCCACTCAATGTTTTACAGATACTCTAATTTTCCATCTAATTTTCAGCAACTCTCACCTTTAGTTTTGAATGTTCACACCCTCTAGTTTTGAGTTGAATAATCCACTCTTTAGATTCTCAGCTTTTTGCTGTGCTCTTCAAGGTACACCTGCAAATTGTAGGTCATTGTCACTGAACAGCTTTAATCACATGAAAAATACAGTAAGTGGATCCCTGTAGTATAGCAACAGCAGAAAAAATACAGTGTATCAATAAATTGTTACCTGTCTTGAATAGTAAAGAAATCTTTGCTTCTTGTCATTAGTAGGCACGTTGGCAGAGATTGCCATGTGCTGATGTTTCTCTTCAGTAGGAGATAAAATCAAATTAATTAAAAATTAATCAAATTTTTGGGGTCATTATCTCTACATTTATTAAGTCCAACATTATAACCTCTCTCCAGTGTTAGATAAAGTTACGTATTCACGCCTTTCTAACAAAGATAGATATGCACAAAATCTTGTCTTCAGTGCTGAAGAAATCTTTGCAATAACGCCTCACTTTAATGCATAAACACCCTGGCACTATTGTACTTCTGCAGGGGTGGAAATAATAATGTTTTATTCCTGTGGTAACAATTAGCCTGTGCTATTACCCCTATTACCCACTGTACACAGTAGAGAAAGTGTAACTAGCTATATGCTGATCTGCCCACTGACCAGTTTAGCTCTGCTCTGTGGACGTTTTTCATTAGTGCTGTGGGCTTGAAGATGGTGGCATTGCTCTCACACATTTCATGCTGAGCTGTGTTGCTCACAAGGAAGCTTGCCATCACCTGGTGAGGGCTCAAACCTGCATTTGTTGGCTATCAAATGATGAACTAGTTACAATCGGGGGTTAGGGGGGGGGGTTTCTTGGAGTTGAGTTGGCTCCAAGGTGACATGCTTGTGAATGGAATATTGGAATCGACTCTGGCAGTCTCTGTAGTCCGGTTCCTGAGCCAGGCGGGTCCGCAGTATTCCAGGGACTTGGAGAGGCAGGCTTGGGGTCAAAACTTATTTCCATTCAGCACCTGTTAAACCTGCAAGCCAAAGCCCTGACAGGTAGTGTGGTCCTAGCTGGACAAGCAGTGTTTTCAATGGCAAGCTATGTGTTTGTAACTAGTTAAATGCCAGTAGAGCACTAACACACACTCTAGGGTTCCCAAGCCTTATGTCTTGCCAATCTGCATCTAATACTCTATGGAATTAGGTAAACAAGGTGTATCTCTCCAGCGAGAGAGTGTGCATTCCATTTCAGACGCAGGGACATAGGATACTTTTAAGAATGGTAATGGATTTTCATGTGTCAGACACCTGGATGGCCAAAACAAATATTTGTGAACCAGAATATGTCCCAGATAGGTGGATACTGGAAAGGGAGAGGTTCAACTGCACACAAATGCTTCAGCTGTTTCGTCTCAGCAGTCTCAGTCACTGACACTGTAGAGTGAATATCAGAAAAGTGCCAATGGCGTAATTATAATTACAGCTATTTCACGATGGACTGTGAAAGTAGCCTGGAACAGCAATGACATTTTTATTGCACGTAAAATGCCTGTTATCATGATTCATGAAAATGATGTATTATATTTAATTATAGATGTTACTGAACAAATTCAGTCACTTTATCCATCTAAACATTCATTTCTGTTTGCCAGCTTGCCTGCCTGACTGCTGGTTGATTGGACAACCTGTTATTCTATAGACAGTTTGCTTTGGGCACCCCCTGGAAAGTGCGAGTGTGTATTACAGTAGGTGAAAGGTAGGATTAGGCTTGGCTGAGTCCCATGTTCTCTCCTAATCCCTCTCTCCCTTCCTCCCCCAGCTAGAGTTAAATGACCTTGCAACTTTCACTGGTCGCACTCAAATATGAACAACGGGCACTTATGGGAGGCATCAAAATTGTTCAATTCAGCAAAGGTCAATTTGCAGCCCAGTATAAACCTTGAAGAGAGCATTGACAAAAAACAGAAAAAAGAAATGTAAAAATAGTTGTCCCAAAATGTGTTTATTAGAACCATAGGAAGATACTGGGCAGAGAAGACAGTCATGGTTCATCGGTTTGGTCTCAGTGTAAAAAGTCATACACTATAATTCCTGTATCACTTGATCAATGTCTTTGCCAAATAGCTGTCAAATTCCCTCTGGAATTTGCTGCCTCCAGCTGCCTCCACTATCTCCCTGAGTAATTTCATGTTAGATTTGATATTGGAGCCTAATTGGTCATGGTATTTCGTAACATAGTTGCACAATTGGAGACTCCTTCAGGTAACCAGAAGTATATCATATCAACCCATCGGAACATAGTCAGCTTCTGGAGTGGAGTTCTAGGTTAATGGGAACTCTGTTAAGTAAAGGAATCCTGTTAAGTATTATAACTAATTAGAACCCATGGTTTCTTGAGAGATGAAACATGCTCTTATTATGACAACTGCAAAAAAAAGCAATGTTATTGTGAAATATTATCAATATTCAATATTACACAGAGATTCTTAACCTCATGTTTCCTCGAGATTACATTAAAAATGCAAGGTGTCCAATTACTGCATCAGAATGAGTCAAAAGTCGGCAGACATTACATTGGCGCTAAATATCTCAGTTAAAATAATTCTTATATAATTCAGGCTAGGCTTTCATAGCTGCCAGTTAATATTAAGATAGATTATCCATTGCTACTAGGTATTGGTGGAAAGCCTCTCATGCTCTGATGACCTACTTAATTTGACTGTTTTTCTTGCATTTTGTTCAGAACTTTGCCTCTGCCAGATTTGTTTTTCCAGAGGACATTGTGTTGGAAGGATTTTCCCTTAAATTAGCTCATTGTGCGTATGTTCTGACAACGTAAATCAGTGCTGCTATTGGTAGAATTTCTACCTGGGTCTAGATTTACTGTAATATATTAATTTTAGATTAATATAACATTGCAGAGTCTCCAGAATTTGTCAGAATTCTTAAATGCAGTCTTTAATTTAGAATTTAGTTTTCTGTAAGATTATATAATAATAATTATTCTTGCATTTGATATAGCGCTTTTCACGCCTTCTAGACGTCTCAAAGCGCTTCATATTATTAATAATCCTTGCATTTGATATAGCATCTTATCCTTCAAAAAAATATTAATAATAAATTGATCATTTTAATCCACAACTGTTTGTTGGACAATGCTGCGTGCAATATATCATCTCTGATTTTGAAATGATAACACAAGACAATTTGAGACCTACAGCTGTTGTTTCATTTTTTAGCTGTACCCAGATCTTTTCATCCTTTTCCCTTTATTATTATTTCAGCGTCTTGGGACGTCCTCCTGATGTGAAAGGCGCTATACAAATGTAATTTGTTGTTGTTGTAATCACTTTGTTTGCATTGATATTTTAATAATAACCATTAGATTTGATATATTACATTACATTTCACCCACAAAACATAGCCAATTCACTTTACATTATATTCTGTGAAGTGCTTTGAGATATTTTGAAGATGTGATAAGACGCTATATATCAAATGCAAGGATTATTATTATTACTATTATCGTCAAGACTTCTCAGAATGGTTCACAAGAATTACTGTAATGTGTAGTGACTGTATATGGAGTTTCTTACAGAAAATGGGCTTCAAAGATTAAATTGAATTCAACAATTTGCTCAATTCTGCATACTCTGAAATGTTATTTTAATGGAGTAAATCTAGACCTGGTTGGAATTTTTGAAAAGAGAAGGGAGTTTCTCCCAGTGTCTCTCAAATAAAATTGGTTACTCACTCCATGGCTGTTTATGGAACATTGATGCAAATCAGCTGGTGCATTTCGCCTACAAAATACAGTTACTGCATTTTACAGTATGTCCTGTGAAGTGCCTTGGGACGTCCTCCTGACATGCAATTATATAATTGTATATAAATGCAATTTGTTATTGTCCTCCTGATGTGAAAGGCGCAGTACTAAATGTAAGGAGCATTATTATTCATTATTAATTTCTACCCACTAATTGGCCAGAGAGCCACTGAAATAAAACTCATCATTCGCCTGTGAAAGGAATTCAAGTCAAAGCGTTGCAAGGTCACCATGTGCTGCTGATTTGAGCAGAGATTGTGACTGCATGTCAGAGTTGCAGTGTACTTTATTATTACCTGTTACGATGACTTTTCTGCTTTGGTACATGTAAGCATACTAAGGAATATATGAAAGTTTTATGTTTGCACTTTGAAAAGAAGGATTTCAGTGAGGCAGGGTTTCCAGCTCTTAGTCCATGTTATAAAGTAGCATTAATAGTACCAGAGTACAAATACAAAGTATTTTATACTTTACTTTCTTTATGTTCCAAATCATTTTATGCAGCTACTTACTTCAATATATTTATACAGTGAAAATGATTATTTGGTCGAATGCTATTCAATGCTATTCCAATTAATGAAGCATGTTCACTAATTGGTTTGTACACTGGAGTCTAAAATTCTCTCATTTTAACGGGCTTTGTTAATAAGGACTCTGCCACACAAACAGAGACTCCTACTGGCAATTGGAAATACTGGATGTCATGCCAATCAATAGTAACCCTGTGATTTACTTCGGATCATGATGGAACAGAGTTCCTGTGTTTCAATGGCACATGTTCAGTTATGGAATGAGTCTCCATTTGTGACTTAAAGTGGACATTGAAGAATCCTGTTAGGCCCCAGTGCCTGAGGTCATAGCACACAAATACTTCAAGATCAGAGGACTTGGTGATGTAGTGCATGAGTTTGGATATAATAATAATAATAATCCTTTGATATGCACGTCTTTGAGACGTCTCAAAGCACTTCACAGAGGATACTGTAAAGTGAATTGACCGTAAAATTTGTGGGTGATTAAAGGTGATTGAACAAACTCTCTCTGTTGGCTGTAAAAATGAGTTCTATACAAAATAAAATTGGGCATTTTCCAGTGGGGACAGATCTACCGCACAAGTTTCAGAAACTAAATTGGAAGTAAAGACATCACATGAGATTCTCACACACATCTGCCAGTGGCAGCTGAACAGCTCAGAGCCTGAAATGCGGAACAGGATATCTGTTTTCCCACTCCGTTGGAGAATGTTGCAGAGTTGAGAAGTGGGCTTGATGAGACATAAAACTCACTTATAAAATTGCAGAGGAGAGAGAAGGATTTAAATGTTAAACTTAATTTAATACAGATCACAGTAGATAATGAGTTTTTTTTTATTTTTTAACATAGGATAACCATATGTTATAGCATGGACAATGGTCAACAGAAGGTGAAGACTATCGATGTGAAAACAGAAACTGCTGGCTCTTCAAGTGGTCCATATGATTCATTTTGTATTAAAGACAAAGGTTAGTGCTGCATTATCCCACAGTCGCTGAGCCTGACACCCACATTAATTGGCATCAAGCCCATTATGGATGTAAACACACTGTTATCATGCTAAATACTCTCTGTTGTCAACTACAAAAAAATACATTTAGCTAGTAGCTTGGGGTGGAGGGAGCTGAGGAGGGTGTAGTGATTGCGGTGATGGGGGAAAGATAACTGAAACACAGTTGAAAAGAAAGATCTTAAGAAAGATCCCTAGAAACTGTAGCACAAGGTCATCCTAAGGGTCATAGCCAATGCAGTGTACCATGAATTATTGGCACCGTGTACCACTTTTTAGATAATTGTTATTGTGGTCTAATTTGTGGTGTTTCCAAACAGCATTATTCAATAAGCAAATGGGGACTCCTTTCAATACATGGAAGTAGATCCCACTGATCCGCTCCACTCCCAATCCAATTTATTTCTGGAGTGGAGCTTCCTGTAGGTTGACAGAAATTGCAACAGGATTCCTTATTAAAGACTCTCTTGAAGAAATACTGAAAATTAGACCCCAGTATTTTTTAAATCTATGGAAATATTTATAAGATGAAATGTTCTTTCTGATTCTTTGATCTTTGGTAGAAGGAAAGTGTAACCATCTCATTACATCATAGCATTTAGGCCCTGGAGATTAAAAACAAAAATGTAAAATGCCTTATTCATCTTTTCCCCACAATGCCTTTTGACTTTAAAGAAATAAGCCCCTGTTTTATTTATTTAGTGTTGCTGAGCATAAATCAGACACTAAAGGGAAATATGTAATAAACAGGTTTTTAAAAACGTTATTTAAGAGATTTTTCTTCCTTAGTCCTCCTCACTTGACGTCAGTCTCTCAGGCTTGGATATCAGTGTTTGAATAGCTTTTTGGCTCTCAATGTCCAAGGTCACACAGGCGGAGACAATCCCATTTTGCTCCCAAATGATCCATTGGTCCTGAGGAAATTATTTTATGAGATAGTCCTATATGAGAATGCGCAAGTATAAAATGTCTCCTCTGGTGTGAGTTAGAACGGTCTAACACAATTGTCAAATGGTCTCCATGTTCAGTGTACTCCGAAGCATGATCGTAATGTCGGTTGTAATTTGTTTTATAAAGCAGTGGGTCTCTTTTCTGAGTCTCTTCTGGAGCCAGGCAAGGGAAGGCTCTGGGTACTGTTCTGGTTGTTTTGCACTTGTGAACCTGTTGAGTAAAGCTGCTCCCTAGTTAACAGTCCAGTGATCAAACTGCTTTTAGCTGCATGGATCCTTTATAATCTGAAAGGAGCTTTCTATTATCTGCTTGCCGGTACTGTTAGTGTTGGAAGGAAGTGGAGAGGTTGGGATGGTTTTGGTTTGGGTATTGAGTGCTGTTCATGAGGTATAATAAAATTGTACGCGTGATTGGGTTGAGCTTGTGCTGAGAGTCTGCTTGAAAACTAGTTCTGGATCGTATGTTATTTAGTTGATCTCATTTCATGTTCTGGATAAAATGGACAAGTAAACAACACTGCAGCCTGGTACTGCTAATATTCCCTTACTGAGTGAGACGTTTGCTCAGATGAATTCTTTGTGTATTCAAAATTGTTTTTGCTTTTTAAAAACTAATGAAAAAGCTGTTGTTAAAACTGTTTCACTGCACTTTTAGCAGTGATACTCTGAGTTGCGCAATATGCAAAGCATAAGTAACAATTGGAGCTGAAAACAAAACAGAAGTTGCTTGGTTCACTCAGCAGGTCAGGCAGCATCTATGGAGAAAGGAAAGTGAGTCAACGTTTTGGGTCCATGACCCAAAACATTGGAGCTGAGTTGCATAATTTGGAAGCAGATTTCTCTATAGGGTCCTGCTGACCTCATCACCACCCTGAGGAGATGGTTTCAGGAACTTTAATGCACCTGTAGCGACAGAATGGTTGGGAATCAATCCCAGATGTCTAACCATTAGGAAATAACATTATGGGATATAGTACATAGGTAGATCGGGACCTATGTGCAAGTGACCACCAGGAAGGTGGAAGGCGAACTGGATGGACCTTAGTCTTTTTTCGTCAAGCATTTCTTATGTAGATTCACTTCCAAAAAGTCCTCTGAAACTTCTTGGGTATTACAAAGGATGACCAGGAAATTGGAAGGATATAATTTGGGATGTTCTCCCGATGTGAAAGGCGCTTCATAAATGTCAATTTGTATCGTATTGTAATTTGTATTGTACCCTATTTTCATTTCAACTTTTTACTTTTTCAAAGCTTTTTGAACAATGAGCATACTAAATGAAGTTGATTACAATTTTTTGTGAACTGCAATGCAGGTGCAGATCCATGGACTTGTTTTGTTTTTACATTTTGTGGTTTCTGGAGGCACATTATAGGACTGATTTTAAGTTACTCATAAGAGGGGAAGAGGGGAGGGCAAACTAGAAGGAGGAAGGTTTAGGGGCATAAAAGCTTTTGTGCCTGACTCAGTTGATATCACTCTTACCTTTGAGTAGGAAGATTGTGGATTCATGGCCCATATCAGGACTGACATGGCAATATAGTGTTGGGGTTGCATTATTCGAAGTGCCATTCGCCATAGGAGATGTTGCACCAAGTTCCTGTTGGCATGTTTAGATAGAAGGTTAAAGATCCCTTGCCACTATTTGAAAGGAGAAGGGAATCTCCTGGTATCCTATCCAACAATTACCCCAGATAAAATTGAGCATTAATTTCATGGCTGTTTGTAAAAGAATACTGTGGGCAAATTGGCTGTTGGTTTTACCGAAAAAATACACACAGTTACTATGTGTTAAAATAAATCTCATGAAGTGCTTTAAGAAGTCCTCCAGACGTAAAAGGCGCTACATTAAATGCAAGAATTTTTAAAAAAAATACAGAAGCTACATTTCTTTGTTCTCAGCTGTCTGAATAGCAAATAAAGACCAACAACTGAAATAAAAAGTATATTGTTCTTAAAAGCTGGTATCATGAGTACGTCAGCCATTAGAGCCATTAGTGATTTTACGCGTTATATTTGCAGATTAAATATCAAAGCAGCAAAAAACACTTGATATTCACAGGACTAAAATAAATAACAACAAATAAAACATCTAATTCCAAAATCTTTTTATTATTTTTGAAGCCAAACTGGAAACTTGAATTGAACTTGAAAAGGCAGGCGATTGCCTCTCATTCACGGTGTAATTTCATTCTAAGCTTTTTTAGCGATTAAAGCATAACATGTTGAGGGGCTTGTTCTATTCTGTTCATTCAATGCAGAAAACCTTCTGATGTGTGCTTCAATTTTCTTGTTGAGATCTCAGGCTCATGATGAAATATGATTCTATGAGTGGGAGTCACCCTCCAATACTCACTCAAGTATCTATTCTTCACTTGGACTAATTTGGTAGGACTCTTGCCTCTGGGTCAGGAAGTTGGGAGTTGCAAGTTCCAGTGTAGCGAAGTCCTGTGGTATCAGAGATGTCATCTTTAGGATGTTAAATTTAGTCCCCATTTCCCTGTTTTGGTAGCTGTTAAAAATCACTTGACATCATTCGAAAAGAGAAGGGAATTTTTTCCATTGAGCAACAACCATCCAGATTAATTGATCAATCACCTTATAACTGTTTGTAAGACTTAGTCAGTGCAAATGTGGCCTTATTTGTCTGCCAAGAATAGTCAGCACACTTGCTAGTGATTAAGTTTGAAGCAAGTTATTACATGTGAGCACAGAAAAAGAAAAGGGGAGTAGTTAGAACTGTCATGGTGTTTGAACGTTGGGAATATGACAAGCCCAGTGCCGACATTCTGCCAATATAGTGTGAAGAGAACATTATAAAACTAGGGTGAGGGATTGGGAATGTCACACCTGTTAGAATGTACTTTTGGAGGTTTGGTGTTAGTGTAATTTTACAATCTGAGCAAGTTTAAGACCTGATTCATCAAAAGTTTTACTTACTTCAAACCTTTCTATACGGAAGTGCAGGTTGTTTTCCCGGTTAGCTGTAGACATGGTACTTAGCTGGTGGTGCAATGCCACCCCTGAATAATTTTCAGCATCCAGCACTTGCTACAAGAACTTGTAACTCTTCTCACTGTAGTGTTCAAGGTTCTAGTCGTATTAATCTACGTTATGCTTTTGTATTGTATATCCCACCCTAATTATAATAACAATTTTAATCATAATCCTTGCATTTGGAATAGCTCCTTATCATGTCAACAAAGCACTTCACAGGATATACTGTAAAGTGGTGCGACTGTGTGTATTTGTATGGGTGACACAGCAGCCAAATTTGCGCACAACAATGTTCCACAAACAGCCATGAACAGTGAACAATTTTATTTGGGGATTGTTGGTCAGGACACCGGGAGAAACTCCTTTTTCTTTTCCAGTGTCATGGGATCTTTGAGGTCCTCCTGGACAGGCAGAAGGGAACTCGGTTAAACATCTCATCTGAAGGATCATTAATTAGATCTATGCGATAAATACATTTATTTCTGACTGATTTCGCTGTTGCCTGTGTCAGTAACGTTGTTTTTACCACTTACCAAAAGGGCCAAATCGATTGAAGGCTGGGACACTATTATATTAATTAATCAATGATTTTATACACCTGGTGAAGGCCTTTCTGATTAAGTTTGCGTCACCCAAGAGAGGGCACAGCTCTGGGCATAGGAGACTCGGTCTGCTTTTGAAAGTTGTGAGTGCATATTAATTTTAAGAATGTCAAAATACTTTATGAAATATAATAAATAATGGCAGTAATAGAGAGCAAGAGCGAGATGGAGGAAACCTATATTATCTCCCATCCAAAGCAGTATTCAGTTGGTGGTGGAACACAACTCCTGGCTACTTTTCAGTGATATTTATAATAATCTATGCATTTGACATAGCGCCTATTATATCGTTGAGATGTCTCAAAGCGATTCACAGGAATTACTGTAAAGTGTAGTTACTCTATATTTGTAGGAAAATATGGCAGCCAATTTGCATACCGCAGTGTCCCACAGACAGGCATGAAGTGAGT